TGAGAAGGAAAATGTTTGTATTTCACCTGTGGATATTTATTTCATATCGCTGTCTTTATAGACCACCTAGAAATGTAGAGGTCTTACAGCACTGGAACAATGGAAGTTCAAATGTGCTCTATTTTTCTGAGCGTCTTTAAATAAAGATCGGAAGATGGCATAAAAGAAATTTGTTTCACAAAGTGTTCAATACAAAGCCAGTTATTTTGTAGTAGGAAAGTAGATTGAATTGATAAAGACACCTCAGAATGAAAATAAAACTAGGGCAATTAATATCCTTGTGAGACTCATTCTTTCTAACTTACTTCATACAGAAAGGGACTATGTAAGATATGGGAAATAACAGAATGTGTTTTCTTTGTATAAATACTTTCAGTAAACAAACTATCAAATATCAAAAGTTTGAGCGTAGAAGCAGTAACCAATGAAATATAAGCCATAGTATTTACCTGATTTATTGAAGGCAGGAGAACCAAAAATTGATCCAGTTATTTCTATCTTCCATAGTGCTGGCTGTTTTTTTTTTTTTTCCTTTTTGTCTTTTTTTGTGACCGGCAACAGGATCGCCACCCTCAGTGTCGCGTCCGTACCGCGCTCAACCAGTGAGTGGACCGGTCTCTATATGGGATCCGAACCCTCGGTGGGAGCGTCGCCGTACTCCAAAGCTACCGCGCTCAACCAGTGAGTGGACCGGTCTCTATATGGGATCCGAACCCTCGGTGGGAGCGTCGCTGTACTCCAAAGTGCTGCACTCTACTGAGTGCGCCACCGGGCCGGCCCCATAGTGCTGGCTGTTTAAGGTAAAGTACCTTGAGAAATAAAGCAGCCCCGGAATCTTGGGATACAGAAATTAGGAAGGAAATACAAACTTTTAAATATTAACTAACTAATTCAGTAGTACTGAAAGTAATGCATTTAAACATACAACAGTTAGGTTTTTAAGTTTAAATATGGCAAAGAAAACCTATGGAACAGGATGGGAAAAAAAATGATTAGTCAGGATGGGTCACATCCAGAAGCACAACATAAAATATCTTCTTCCATTTAAAAGAAGACTCAAGAGTTCAATAAAAACAGTCCTTGGCATTTAAAATCAAGACATGGTTCTTTACTCAGTGGTGCAAATAAACTATTCACTGGCCAAAGAGTAAAAATACAAAAATGAGATAAGGGTCTGGTTTGTATTAATAAGGAATATTTTTGTTTTTACATTAGTGTTATACTTCTAAAAATTTCCTATTTTCCTGCTGCCTCAACATCCCCACAGACTGTGTGAACATCTGGCCTAGGCAACCAGGTCCAACAATGTGATACAGTGGCGTCTGCCACGAGTTTCCCCTCTTACCTAGTGACATTTTAATGCACCAGTGAAATCCCCTCCACATCCTTTTTTGTGTTCTTCATCCTGACTCCAAGGCACTCTCTCTGCTCCCTACCTGCTTGGTTAAGGCCCCTCCCCCGTGACTGCCTTTGGGGTGCAGTAATTCTGTCTCTCTAGGACCTGTGAATATATATATGCTTTTTCTTCCTCCTGCGACTCTCCTGTGTCTCCCGTGTCTCCTCTTGTGGCGGTACCTCACTGACTGACCATTATCTAAAAAAAAACCACGAAATGATAGTAAGTAAAAAAAGTTTTTTTTTTTTCCATGTCAAAGTAATACCCTGTACAAGAAAAAGAAATCATATACAGCCTTACCATCCAGGAGTAAACAGCTGTTAACATTATATATTGTGTTTTTTTTTTTTTTTTTTTTTTAGTGGCTTTGGACACACATTTGAACTGTGATCCAGGTGATTTCAATTTATTGTCTTCTCCCTCTGAAATAGACATATCAAATTATTGAGATTTAAAAATTACCTTTATAAGTCTTTCCCTCAAAAAGTCAGGTAAAGAAAAAAATCCACCAAAAATGTGATCGTAGTTAGTTTCTGCCTCTCTAAAAGATGTGCTCCCCAATTTAAAGAAAGTATTTCTCTTTAATTTCTGCAGCTATAGCAACATTAAAAACCAGAGAGCCTGAGGATTTGTGTCATTAACTTCCTTGGTCAGGAACTGATGTCTAACCAGCTTCCTTTCTTTTGGCCCTCTGAACCATGCTGCCAGCAGCTGTAGCAATGAGAGGACCACAGAGGACAACAAACAAGGCAATGGGCCAGTGACATGTAATCTGCAGTGATGCTAACACCTATATCAGTGTCACTGGTACAGGATAAACAGCACTAAAGTTTACTGGTTAAATATGAGTTCTAGAGTCAGACTTGGGTCAAAGCCAGACTTTGACATTTCCTGGATGTATGATCATGGATAAGTACTTAACCTAATTCCAATTTTGTTATCTGTAAGATAGTAAAAATAGCTAAATGTAAAATGTAAACTGCCTGGCATTTGGTAAACTATTAGTAAGTATTACCATTTTTTAATTATGATTTCAGCTCAACATCCTTGACTACATTATACTTTAAAAGCTAAAATGAATTTTATGGGAGCGCTTACTTCCCATGACCAAACACCCTTTGCTTCCCTATGGAATGAGTAAACTTACCTGACAAAATATAAAGGAAGGTAATGAATGTTTGCTTACATTTTTGTAAGTTATTTTCATATTTACTACCATATTTAAGTGACAGCACTATTGTCAGCATTTCCTTCATCACGTAAACAAGAAAACTGAGGTTCAAAAAGACTTCTTTGCCCAAGATCCTGTGACCATTAAACAGCAGAACCAGAACTAGTACCCAAACTGTGGCCCTAAATCCAAGATTTTGTTTCACCCAAATATGTCTAAAATAATTGCTTAAGACATGGGACTGAGATGAATGGGTTATACTACTGTTTTTTAACTATCAGAACTTCCATGACAGTCTTCTCTAACACATAATAATTCAGCACGACTAATCCACACTAGTGAGTAAAATCAAAGTCAAGAGTATATGGAGATAGATTCTCAGTTTGAGGAAGATGCAAAATGCTGAAAGACAAGTATTCTGGTTTTTGTTTTTTACAAAACCAACAGTTTGGAGATACTTATTAAAGGAAAGTAGAAACAATGTCTTAAAGATTCCAGTCTCATCTTTGCATTAAGATACCAGACCTACCCAAAGACATACACAAAAGTTGTATCTAAACAAATGTCTTAATTGGTAAAGGGCCACAAAATGTTTACATTGTTTAATGATAAAATAAAAAATGGATAAAAAAATAATAATGCTAATAAAAGTGTTTTCTTTCCCTAAAAAACAAACAACTGTCTTGCAGGGCTGCTCAGTTAGCTCACTTGTTTAGAGCATGGTACACCAAGGTCAATAGTTCAGATCCCCATATTGGCCAGCCACCAAAACAAAACAAAACGAAACCCCAAAAAACTGTCTTGTATATATAAACCACTGTCACAAAGGATGAATATGGCTGGTTTAGCAAGAATTAATTAACAACAACAAAAAAAACCTCTTTATGTACTTTAGGATGAAATTAAGTGACTGCCCCAGCTAAATCATCTCTAAAACTTTAGTACTCCCTCCACCCAGATGCAGGCAAGAAACAGAGGATGCCTGGGATCCTGGGGCAGGAGCCAAGGGCCAGCCCCCTTCACCTGGATGCAGGCAAGAAACAGAGCACGCCCAGGGCCCCTAGCCAGGAGCCAAGATCCAACCTCCTCCACCTGGATGCAGGCAAGAGTCAGAGCATGCCCAGTGTCCTTAGGCAAGAGCTGAGGACCAGCATCACTAGGAACACACCAAAAATACCACTTCTGTGCAGGTGGCCCACCACAGCCACAGCTGCTACACAAGCAGCAGACACTACAGCGGTAGCCACAAGTACCATGCAGGTGACCTGCCACTCAACTACACTAACACAAGGAGAGTCACCAGCGGAGACCATAAAAAGAAGAGGACTTCTCTCTCCTCAAAGCCCACTCCAGAGTAATAGAAGAAGCAACTGCTCTACCAGATGAGCATAATCAACATTAGAGATACAAGAAATACAAAAACCCAAGAAAATATGACACCACCAAAAGAATACGGTAATTCTCTAATACCAGACCCTATAGGGCAGGAAACCCTTGAAACAACTGAGAAGGAATCCAAGCAATGATCTGAAGGAAACTCATTGAGATAGAAGAGTCAGACAACACAATGAAACAAGAAAAAAAAAAAAAAAATCCAGGATATGAAGGAGGAAATTAATACCTTTAAAAAGAATGCAGCATTTTCATGTAAGTGTTTACAAGTATAAATTTTCCTCTAGCACTTCATGAGCCCTGTGTCCTATAAACTTTAATATGCTGTGCTTTGATTTTTCTCAAAGTATTCTCTAATTTTCCTGTGATATTTCTTTTTACCCATTGTTTAGGAGTGTTGTTTAATTTAAACCACACATTTGTGAATTTTCTGGATTTCCTTCTGATATTGTGGTCAGAGAACATATTTTCCATGATCTTAGTCTTTTTTAATGTATTAAGACTTTTGTGGCCAAAAATAAAATAATAAAAAAAAATAAAAGCACAACTGTCAGTTAATGGAGGTAAGAATGGAGGGGGCTCTACCAGGAGATTAACTTTTTCTTTATACATTTAATATTATTAAAATTGTTACAATAAGATAAGGACACTGTACTTTTATAATATATATGTCTAATAAAGACAAGTGAAAAGAAAAATAAAACTGAAGTAATGAATTACTTATAAACACACATGAGAGAACTTCAAAAAATTCATGGAAAGATTTGTATTATCTTTTAGTACTACTTTTCCATGAACATTTTGTAGTACCCTTGTATACCTTTCAGTGTGCTGCTTATATTTTAACGTTTACTTGGCACTTACCGTACAGATCAGGTACTTTCAATTCTAGAGCAAGTAAGAGGTGCCAAGGAACCTTTTACTTAACACAAACACATTTTTCTATTTATTTGTGGAAAAGAATATGCTTTTTATAAGTTATTTCAGGCTAGTCTGATAACTGGAATTTAAAACAATAGTCATAAAAATTCACGGAGAAAATCTCAGGAAGAACAGACTTTATTTTTAACATAAAAGTTCTATTTTCTTGTGAGGCAGCAACAAGTGTTCAGGTACAGGGAATACATAAGTACATAATAACAATACCTATCACCATTGGAAATACTGGGGAGAATTTTGTTAGAAAACAACATTTTTGAAAATTACGTTTTAAAAAGATTTACACTGCTTCAACAGAGATGAAAGATGCAGAGTTTAAAAAAACATAAATTATATTCTCCAACAAGATTGTACAAACAAAATATTGTTCAGGGCTGCTCTGCTTCTCAGTCTAGGCAGAGTAAAACTTAAACCTTAAAGTGCAGAGTTAAGTATTCTTAGCGGTATTTTGCGAATTCAGCTCTTCCGGTTTTGAGACATCAAAATTCAAAGCATTAAGGAATGAACCTTGAGTTTAGAATAGTAAAGTCAATTTAGTTGTGGCAATTTTTCTTTTACTTTTCTTCAAAACAAAATCTTGACAATACAGTCCTAATCTTGGACACAGAGCAGGCTGTAAATCCTGCCACTTTTTATACCTTCTTCCAGTGAAAACCAACATTTAAAAAGGAAAAAAAAAAAAGGCTTTCATGTTGTCAGATATTCCAAAGTTAGCAATAGCACCTTCTAAAAGACTGATTTGGCCATGGTCATAAGTATAAGAAACATTTTAAACAAAATGAAGGATCTAGTTCAAAAATAGTTTTAGCATCCATGCTCGCCATATTGAACCAGAGGCAAAACTGGTATTTTAAAACATAATTGGTCACAAAAGCCATGACAAATAATACACTTAGTCATGACCAGAAACAACAAATTTACATAAGTTTTAGTATCACAAGGAAGAAATTGTTTAAGGATAAAAAAATAAGAAAGATTGACAGTGAATAATCATAGAATAGCTCCTTTCGCTGAAAGATACATGCCACGTATTTCTTTTACTGCAATGAAAGTAAACTTAAATTTTTTAAAAATTTAAATTATATTCCTATTGAAGCTATTCCATTTACCTTCCGTATCATTTTTTATAGTTATTACACAATAATTATGGAATGTGATTTTAGAAAACAATATTATGCACTCTATTGAAAAAAGACCCATTAAAAAAAAATCAACCACCTGAGAACTAAGGGTTAAATAAAACAGTTGAATGAAGCTATGGATAATTTTTTTCAAGAATGTGATAAAGCTTATATGCTTAAAAATTAGCCCTTTGGCACTGGCAGTTAGAGTTGTTTTGTACATTGGACCTTTTTTTTGAATCTCAGGCTCTATTTCTCCCAAACCCAAGGGATATGTTTGGTTACCATACAATTCATTTACCGGCAAATTCACATCCTCCTTATGACCAATTATTAGAGTAGAAGTTCTATTTATAATACTGTAAATAGTAAATCTGAAACTTGTTTTTCCATTCTGATTTTAAATTACTTTAGATTAAGGATATATGAAACTCTACAGAAAGATGTGTATTTGACAAATGTGCACAATACAGTAAAAGGGAAAACCTGTTTACAAAGTGGCATTTTAGCTGTAAAATCCCCTTTTGACTAGTGGGTATGGAGATAGAAGAGGAAAAAAGAACAAAGTGTAAGGCAAAGGAAGGAACATAGATTTAATAGAATTCAAGTAATAAAAAAGCTGAGGATTGTTTTTTAAAAACCTTGTTTTTAACTATATCCTCCCCCCCTTCAATAGCAACTCACCTGATTTCAGTTTTACCTTTTCTTCTGTACTTCCGATAGAGCGATACTTGGTGGTGAAATAGTAAAGTCAAAAGGCATAACAAAGAAGCAAAGAATCAAGGTTTTTAAAAAACCAACCAATCAGAAAATTTAGACCCCAAATAACTGAGCTTTTACTGACTTAGAAGCCATAGGTAATATAGTTCTAAGTAAAATTAGTTTTGGATGGAAAAAGTCCTACCAACTAAAACCTGATAGAGTTATTCAAGTGTGTGAATTGATCTGATTTATCTAACTCCATATCCATCTTAAACTTAACAGGGCATATTTTAAAGATGGATGAATATAAAAAGTCCTTTCAGATTTATTGCTACCACTAGGTTTTCCTTGATGGAATACATCTGAACGAGCTCACCTACCGACCTTCTAAACTGTATCCCTTTTATAAGGATTAAAAATTTTTTTCTATTATATGTATAGGATTAGTAAATTATTACATCATAGGGTACTATGAAGATATTAAATGGTGCTTTTATCAACACTGTTTGCTGAAACTCATTTTTTAAAAAGAGCTTCTCCTTAATTTCACTACCACATACCCAGAGATGAAAATACTATTGTACTAGGATGAGCTCAAATCCAAAACTGTATGGATTTTTCAAAGGTGCCTGTTTATGCACCAAAGTTCTTCTTTGTTTCCCCCATTGTATGGAATGTTGGAGGGAAAACTAGCAAAATCTGTAGGCAATAAATCTCAGTGCCAACCATCATAAAGAAAATGTTAGTTGCAAGATTCTGTGGCTACGGATTGCTATTCAATGGATTACACTCCTGGCAAACTACTAACCCTGACCAAATCCACAAGACAACAATATCACAAAAGCAAAGGAGGAAATCCATGCACAGCCATTTTAGGATCTCTTGGGGCTATGATACAATGATGATTAAAGGTATAATGACACCTGTGGTAAAGGAAGGAGATCATGTGATATATATTTCACAGAAAACTAAAGGGGCTCTGTACTCCTAGCTAGCAATCAACACTGGATAATTTCCTTTTGGCTCACTGACTTTTAAACCAAGTTCCGATATGGGTGAGAACATATTAAAGCACTTGTCTTCGGACTATAATTTTTCTGACCATATGGTGACATGTGTACAGGAATAGTGAAGACAACAGTTGTTTTACAAATATTTCACCCAAAGCACAAACTTCTGACATCAAAAAACATGAATCACATAATGTACGAATATTGCTTTTTATCTCTTTTTATATATACGTATTCAAAGCATTTACCTATCAATTGTTTGGGAGAACATATTCGTGAGATTAAGATTGCTGGGAAAATGTCAATAAACCCTTTGGTCCCAAAGCTGAAAACAGGTGAGAAAAGCACACATCTAAAAATGGAAACAAGAAACAGAGGCCACCAAAGAATCTTTTGAACATCCTGTTTGCTACGTTTCAGAAAATGTAACATTGGTATTATAAAATAGTCATTTTCATATAAAAGATGTTTCTTGCAGCATCATTCACATCTCCCTTCAGGAATCATCTTTTCAGGGATCAGGTTTTGTGGTTTTTTGTTTGTTTGTTTTTAAGAAGTCTAATTGGAAAACAAAAAACAATGTGATATTGTCACTCCAATAGTAAAGAATGAGACCTTTCTTGTTTCAATCAGTGCTTTATGCAAAACCAGGCAAAGCACTGAGGGTTGGCTTTCATGAGTGGGGCAGAGCCGTCAGAGGGACTGCTTTCTTCCAGAAGCGTCACTGTCACATATCACTGGAGAGCTGGAGCACATCACAGCCAACTGGGTACGCACAATGCCATCACAGTCAAGTGATCTGAGGAGTTTCTCAGTTTTCCAAGACAATGGCCACACAACACTGGGATCTACCCTTCAGCTTCTTCAATTGGTTCTGGTGGTGGGAGTAGAGAGGCCGATGGCATAACTGTACTCGTTCCTCGAGAAACTCGCTCTTGCTCTGTGTTTGTAGACAAGGAGGCAACTGCGATAGGCTGTAGCAGAGTGGTTGTCATGCCAGTGGTGACTGTCAGGCTGTGGCCAGAGCCCTTGAGAGTAAGATCTGGTGTGGGAAGGAGTGGCTTGAGGATGCTGACAAGGCAGAACGCAGAGCCACTTTTAGGAATGAAATTCACCTTGTTTTTGTCAGGACAGTAAAAGGCTGGGATTTCATGAAGTTGTTTAGGCCTAGGCATAGAATAGACAACCCAATACTTTTAAGTCACTGAACACTGGAAACAAGCTATTTTTTTAACGTACAGATACATAAAGGAATACAAAACTCAAGCTAAGTTAAAAGCTTCAAATGCCAAAGACCAAAGTGTTATGAGACATATGATTCAAAACATATATCTCAGAATGACAGAAGGACACTATTCACCCGTTGTTACTTTCCTTTCCCCGCATGAGCCCCATTACCATGCAGGTGGCTCAGGCTGATGACCACTGCATTTCAATGAAGATCTAAGATAGCCAATAAGAATAATGAATTTCCTATAGCAAAAGAAAATCTAGATGTTTAAAGACAAAAGTATGTTCCACTGCCATGATTTTTCCAAGGTTTGTACTATTCTGAAGGGAAAAAGGCAAGGAAATTGATAATACTCAACGTCCATTTTTTGCTAAAGTTTACCACTGCATGACTAAACATGGGTCTCCTCTTCAAGTGCTCTTAAAAAAAAATCTCTGATTGAAACAATTCTTGAGTTACCCATGATGGCCTGCTGAGCAATGTAATGTAAATGTGAAATCAAAATAAAAATTCCTTTGCTTTGAAAGTTTTTATTGAAGCCAAACTCTTCTCTGTTCCCAAGGACTCTGGAAAATTAACCCAAACCATTGAAAAGGCTTTAATGGTATTCTATAAAAATTTTTAAAATATTTAAAAATTGTTAAAATAAGATGGAAGTGCCTAAAATTAAAACAAAATTAGCCCAGTGACAACCACCAAGCCGCCACAGGAAGCACCTCAAGCTCTCCCAAGCTGGGGCAGTGGGGAGTTGAGGGCCTCAGCCATGCCCCCCCCCCAAGTGCAACCAGCCAAGTGACGACCACCAAGCCACAGCAAGGAGGGCCCTGGGTTCCCAAGCTGAGGTGGTGGTGGGGTGACCCACCTGACATCTGCACCCAACCCGGCAAAGCCCCCTGGTCTCCCCCGTAGGGATGAGCGTGGTGCTACAGGCCTCAATCCCACCCCTCCTCCTTCCTCCATCACATTTCCTTCCCCTATCCCTTCTTCCCCTCCCTTCCAACTGCTCTACAACAACATCCTAGAATGTAAAAAAATATTAATAAAATAAAAAAGCAATTAAAAAATAAAATAAAATAAAACAAAATTAAGGTGGGAGAACCTAATATGATAAAAGTATTGTTCTCATCTTTCCCAATGAAAATTCAGTTTAATAAAAATCTGAATGTGCCAAGACTGCACTAGATTCTGAGGACACAAAGATCAAACAATCTAGAAGGAAGAGATGGACTAAATTTATAGTTCTGAGGGAGACGGTGTCCTGGAGACACTACTGTATTTCAATATAATTAGTCACCTTTGTAATTTTATGTTTTATGCATTTAAAACATTATTCAGAGAAGGGATTCATAAGCTTCAGACTGCCAAAGTTGTTCAGGGCACAGAAGAGGTTAAGAACTCCGCAAGGAAATCTGATAGATGTGATAAAGTTTGTAAAAGGTTTAGAGGTGGCATAAGAAGGTGGCTAACCTGTGGCACAGTGGAAGAGGGAGAGTTCGGTAGGAAGAAGGCTTCCCAAATGAAGTAACAACAACAGACCTGAGGAGCTGGCACCAACAAAAAGTATGTTCCAAGGAGACAATGCTCTGGGTGGGCAGATTTTTATTAATAATGAACACTACCCACAGGAGAGCTTTGGCAAATATAGTAATTTAAGAACAAAGAAAAGTACATCGTTTAAAGTATGTTTTACTTATTCTTTCTTGAATACAATGGAAACTTACTAGGTCAAGTGCTTTTACTGCCACAAATTATATTTGGATATACAATTGATGAGAAGAACACATATCTCTCTATTTTTATCATTTGAGATTATGGTTTTCAATTCCTTTAAAAAGACAGAAAGTTGAGGTTATGTTTCTACAATTAAATAATGCTTCAGTTTTCCATTAAAGACAGAATTATTGGAGATAACTTTCATGCTTACATTAGGGGGTTAAAGGCTAATCAATTTTTACACCTGCATTAAAACCTAAGGCTAGGTTTTTAATAATTAATTTATTTGTTTGAGGTTATCTTGTCAAAAATGACTTAAGATGTGGCTGCTAACAAATCTCACATTTCTGAAATACAAAGAAACTTCCTGACTTTGATAAAGTTCTTGATCTGGAAATTTTTTAATGACAGGAATCTAAAAACCATTTAACCTCCTTGCTGCTTTCATGAAAACAGACTTATGACATACCTCACAAAATAATGTAAACAGTAATCACTTGTCTAACTGATCAGATCAAGAAACAGAACATTAACAGTAAAAAGCACCCAAAACCTCCCCTTGTGCCCTCTTCCAGTCACTACCCCAACCCACCAAGAGGAATCACTCTCCTAACCACTCACATTTAATTTCTTAGAGCACATTACCCAAGAAAAATATTACCCACCCCTGGGGTATATGACCCTACACGTATGCTAACAGAAGCTGGCATACTAATATTACTTGAAAGCATTCTTCGACTTAAAAACCATACATACACACAGGGTAAAAAAAATCTCAGAACTGGTTTTAAAATTTTATTTTTGCTTCAACTGTTAATTCAAAGGATTGTGTCTCAAAGTAGATAAAACTAAAAAAATGCCTCTATATTGCAAAGGGGCCATAATACCTAGGAATCTAAGGTTAAGGAGTTTATTAGCTTGGATCAGGAAAGGGCATACTTGTATTTAACTTCATTAAAAAGGATGTATTAAGTGCAGAAGGCATGGCTATGGTATATGTTATCATCAAAAAGAATACAGAGACAGAAGTGCAAAATCTGGTCTTGCCCAAATCCAACTACCTATTTTCATTCAGGTAAACAGATACATTTCCAGAAACCAGAGATCACTATATCCCACAGCAAACCCAGTTCAGGTCAGAGTTACTACTTTAAAACAAAAGTAAGACTTAAGAGAGAAAAGTATTCTTGAAAGAATGATTAAACAAGCTAACATTTTAGATTAGGACCTTTGCTATATAACACTAGTGTGTCCAGTGGATTTTGCTCTAATTTCAACATAGCTAGGCAAAAAGAGACTAAGTTTTTTAGACTTTGAGTAACTTATTTTATCGACTGCAGGTTAAAATTACCTCTAAGAAATTCACTCGGGTTACTACTGCTAATTCATCTTTGGAACATAATTAAAATATTAATAGGCTTGTGTATACCTATGGGGTATATCCAACATCCTTTATACCAGTAAAACTTATAATAAACATTACACTTAAAAAAAAGAATAGGTTAGCCTTCTAATAATAGATCAATGTGCCATAAAACACATAATATTTTAGGATTTACCTTATGTTTCTTTGTTCAGTCTCTTATCAGTACACACACACCCCTGATCTTTTCTCCCCTCCCTTTAGATACAAACAACATGGTAGTATACAGCTCAGATATTGAGTCCCGAGAAATTTTCCAAATGCAATAGTCTAAGTAAGATATCACAGGAAACCAACCTATGTAACAAACATTCAGTCATTTCTAAAAAAAATTCAAATTGCTTTTGAGCCAATCAAACATTTCTCTGCACTTAGGCAAATCCTAACTGCCAATGAATAATCAAAGAGTTCAACTAGAAAAAAGTACATTGAGGCCAATTGATTTTTGCTTAATAGAATGATTCCATTTCTTAAGAACTCTCATGAAAGGGTCTAAGCCAGCATTTTCAAATTGAGCATAAAAATCATCTGAGGTACTTGTTAAAGATAGAGAACTCAGGTCCTGCCTCCATATCTACTGATTCATGAGGCCTGGGAGTGGGGCCTGGGAAACTGCAGTTTCAACGAATTCCCCAGGTGATTATGATGCAGGGAGTCCATGGCACAAATCTGCAAAATTACTGCTTAAACTCTCAGGCTGGCACCAGTTAAAACTTATAGTCTGATATGATGAAAAATACTAAAAGAAGCAGTTGCTAAAAGAAGAGTTTTCAATTACTGTCACAGAAGCAGATATGAGACTGACAGCTGGTGTTTCCTAGCAGAGAAATTGAAGGGATTAAAAAACAGTGCTCTTTGTGTGGAAAGATTAATCAGAATTTAGGTTAAAAGAACACTGGTTAATTTAGGTTAAAGGTCACAGGAGGGCACATAAGAGAAACAAAAGGATACCATATTTCAAATCACTCCAAGATGTTCATGGTAGAGGAAAAGGACAAACTGAATTGGAAAAGGCTGGACAATCTCCATATTGTATTTTAGGTTTCACAGTAAGAAAAAGCCAAAATGGTGGCTCTTAGACTTGCAGCTGCAGTGAAACTGCAGAGTGAGGGCTAAGTACTATCATTATATCCCCAAATAATGTTTATCACCTAATCTGCTCAATCTCACAGAGACTTCAAATCCTGTATCCATCACTTGTAAAGCAAGGAGAAACAGCTACTGAAAACACAAGGCTATATAGTTTCTGGGCAAATTATGAGTTTAAAGTGGGAGTAGCTGACTAGAGTACCAGCCAACAGAAGTGTATGTGTGTAGGAGATCACATAACGAGGACACCAGTTAGTTTAAAATCCTGCTTCTTACATTATCTTCACCACAGTAACATAATTCTGTGAGGTAACAGAATTGTTTCCTGGCTTGGCAGACAAAATATTTTTAAGAATTATTTAAAGAACTAGAAACCAGAAGTAGACAAAAACTGAAGGGGATTTGATCCTAAAAAGAAGGGAACCACACTGGGAGATATGTGGTCTAGCTTGAAAAAATATACTGCTAAATTCAATGTGTGAACTTGACTGGATACACGTTCAAAAATAATAGCCACAGAAGATACTTCGAGGACAACAAATGAAATCTGAATAATAACAGGATATTAGTAGATATTAAGTTAAGTATTACTACTAATTTTCTTAGGCGAGATAAGAGTATTGAGGTTATATAGGAATGCTGTGGTTACTTTTAGCAAATATTGCAAAATGTTAACAACTAGATGATCTGGGCAGTAGATATAAAAGTGATCACTATACCATTCTTTCATCTTACTTGAAAATTCTCATAATAAATGTTTTTTTGCGGGGGGAGGAGGGAATACTTACGAGCATTCCTCAAAGACTTTGACCCTCTCGCAGCCCTCAGGGGGTTCCCTTTTGAACATATAACTGTTGTTAGGTTTTGGTGAGGTTGCATATTTGGGCAAAGGGGAGTTGTTCCCATTCTCTGCAAGAAATGACACACAGATTACTAAGAACTGCTACTACATAAAGTTATAGTCATACTGCATTAATTGTTCTTGGTCTCCCCCAACACCATGAACTACTTGAGCACAGGAGCAGTGTTTATCAACATTACCCAGATATCTAATACAATTCCTGGTAAAAAGGAGATAATTAATGTTTGTTAAATAAATACATTAATAAATAAAAAATTCTTTATCTTGTTTTACTCGACTTTAAAAATTTTTATTTTTATTAGCATATTCATTATTAATAAAAAGGAGATAATTAATGTTTGTTAAATAAATACATTAATAAATAAAAGATTCTTTATCTTGTTTTACTCGACTTTAAAAATTTTTATTTTTATTAGCATATTCATTATTACAAATCGTGATTTTTCTTTATGCCCTTTACCCGACCTATCACTCCCCAAACCCCCTCCCTCCCTCTCCCCCATCTTTAGTATCCTTAGATTTGTTCTCTCCTTCTAAAAGTTTGACATATTGTTGTGGTCTTTTCCTACTTCCTTTCTTTCCTTTCCTTCCTTCCTTCTTTCTTAGAACCTAGTTATGAGTGAACATGTGGTATTTCTCTTTACTTGTCTGGCTTATTTCACTTAACAGAATTTTTTCCAGACTCATTCATGTTGCTGCAAATGGAAGAATTTCATTCTTTTTTTATGGCTGAGTAGTCACCATATACCAAAATCAATTCAAAATGGATTAAAAATTTAAACGTAAGACCCCAAATCATAAAATTACTATGGAAAACATGGGGGAAAAACTCCAGGAAGTAGGACTGGGCAAAGACCTTATGAATTAGACCCCAAAAGCACAAGCAACAACAACAAAAATAAACAAATGGGATTATATAACCTAAAAAGCTTCTGCACAGCAAAGGAAACAACCAACAGCAGAAGTACAACCTACAGAATAGGAGAAAATATTTGCAAACTATACATCCGACTAGGGATTAATATCCAGAATATACAAAGAACTCAAACAACTATACAGTCAAAAAAACAAATAATTCAATTAAAATACGGGCAAAGGAGATGAATAGACATTTTTCAAAGAAAGACATACAAATGGCCAACAGGTACAACAGCATCACTAGTCATCAGGGAAATGCAAATTAAAACCACAAAGAGATATCACCTCACCCCAGCTAGTCTGGCCATTATATTAAAAAGACCAAGAAGAATAACAAACGCTGGTGAGAATGTGGGGAAAGTTTGTCTACTGTTGGTGGGACTGTAAATTAGCACAGCCATTATAGAAAACAGTGTATGGAGCTTCCTCAAACAACTACAGATAGAACTACCATATGATCTAGCAGTCCCACTACTGGTTATATACCCCCAAAAGAATGGAAATCATCACATCGAAGGGATACCTGCACTCCCATGTTCACTGCAGCTCTATTTACAATAGCCAAAATATGGAACCAACCTAAGTGTCCATTGACGGACGACTGGATAAGGAAAATGTGATTTTTATTTCTTTTTCACTTAAAATTATCATAGTCTAGATCTGTAACACTTAATCCTCAGTACTGAACACTACTTTTTCTTATAAAAATCTAGCTGGTTGCCTTATTTCAGTTCTATACATAGGAAGTATGAGGTATTTCAAAAAGTTCATGGAAAAATAGAATAAAAGATAATATGAATATTTCCATGAACTTTTTGAAGCACCCTCGTACACTCAAAACATCACTATCTTTCCCAGCACAGGGTATCTGAAATGATTCTTCACTGGTTGCTTATCATTAACTNGGAAGTATGAGGTATTTCAAAAAGTTCATGGAAAAATAGAATAAAAGATAATATGAATATTCCATGAACTTTTTGAAGCACCCTCGTACACTCAAAACACCACTATCTTTCCCAGCACAGGGTATCTGAAATGATTCTTCACTGGTTGCTTATCATTAACTCTTGGCCTGCCCTTCAGAATTTCTCAGTTTGACAATTTCTTGAACTTGTTAAGACAAGCGAACAGATATGATGTAGTGGCGAGGAGGAGAGGAATGGGTAAACGGTCACAAAAATCAACTACATTATATGTATATTATACATATACAGTATATTGAGAAGTTAAAATACGGGAAAAAAAAAAAAAAGAATTTCTCAGTTTGATTTCTCTGTTCCCCTGATTACAATCTCTGCTCCAGTTAGTCAGAACCACTGTATGCCAAACCTTCCTCTTGCCTATGAACCTCCCCTCACCTAAAAGAGGTAGTAAGTTCTGATGATTTTCTAAAACTTTCTTCAAAGTCTGACTCAAAGTTTTTGAAATCTTTCCAAATTAACCCTATCAGAAGACACATTTCTTTACTCTGACATTCCTGTTCAGTGTTAAGTCCCCAGCTTATACTACATTAACTTAAAATTCTTGATATATTACATAACTGTCCTAAATTTTAAGTCTGTGTCAGCTAAACTACCAATTTCTTGCTGGCAGTAGCTCTGTGGCCCTGTTTTCTTATAAAAGAAACTCATAGAGGCCAACCAGCCACGGTCTCCTAAAATCAAATGCAGCAGGACACAAAATTTATGGAGTTCCTACATGTTATTGATGTAAAAGTAAAAAGTATGGAAAATCAGAGACAGATTTTAATAGCCATATTTTATCTGATCTAGAAGTTAGCAAAAAAAAAAAAAAAAAAAAAAAAGGTCCAAATAACAACAGTTTATAACTGTTCATAGTTTGAAGTGACTTCTTCAGCAAATCTTCTTTTCTGCGCTGGCTATATAGTTTCAATGATGTAGGTGATTAGTAGTAATGGCCAGTCATAACAATGGAGCATTTTAGGACATTCAACACACTGCATGTAGAAGGTTCTAAATAAATGACTACTGAACTAAGCTGTAGAACTTACAGACAAATGTCATATAGTAACTAGGATTAAGCTAATAAAATATTGCCCTGATATAGACAGATGCAAAGGTCATATTTGTGTTAAAAGGTAAAAATACTTGTAATTAATATTCAGACTGCTTCCATCTCCAGGTTATTTTTTATTTTAGTTCTCTCTTTAACATGACACGGCAATCCTGTGTTCCACACCTCAACTCAACAGAAAAGAGCTCAGCAAATCTACACAGTCCGTATCCTAAGGCCACCCAACTAGGGGATCAAAGTGTCTCTGTACACCTGAAAAGTGCATCTCAGGCACAGAGGATTTGAGGATGTCAGGGGTCGGAAGGGCGTTGGTATGAATAATCCAAAAAGGGACACCACTCTGAGAATGAACCAGAATACAATCAAGACTGATTGCACCTGTTGTACAAGAAGGTGAGTTTTCCCGAATCCTTTTGAAACCATGACACAGACAGACCCACCACCATCAACATCATTTTTTTTTTCCTTTTTGTCTTTTTTACTGACCGGTAACGGGATCGCAACCCTCGGTGTCACGCCCGTACCGGGGACCGGCAATGGGATCGCAACCCTCGGTGTTGCGCCTGCACCGCGCTCAGCCAGTGAGCGGGAACCGGTCTCCACATGGGATCTGAACCCTCAGCGGGAGCGCCACTGCGCTCCCAAGCGCCGCACTCTACCGAGTGCGCCACCAGGCCGGCCCATCTCCAGGTTATATTTAAGGTATGTAAGTACCCTCCAACCTTTAGTTCAGACTTGCTTTGAATAATCATACTGCATTGATATAAATTAGTGTAATCCTCGTTAGAAATACAAATCCTCAAAAACATTAACTTGAAGGCTTCGTATTCAATTAGAAAGTATTAAGGTAATGAAATCATAACTAGTAAGGTGACAGAGAACAAAGTGCTTTTCAGGACAAATGTTTATTTCATTTATACTAAAAAGAATGTTTCATACTAATAAGTAAGTTGTACTAACAAATGGAAAAAATAAAAATAAATAAAAAAGGACAAACAAAAGCCCAAAAACCCACTGGAGGCTATCACCTGAGCACCACAATAAAATCAACTGCTCTGTAGACATTACCCTAGCAGCCTCAAGTGTGTGTGTTCTCCTAGAAAACGAACAGAATGAATGCTAAAATAGCTGATATTCAGTTATCATCTAGTAACAAATTCCTCTCCCATCATACCTTTATCCCTGGGATCAACAAGCAGGTCATCAGCTGAGCAAGGACTCTCTTCACTACCTTCATTGGAGATGGTGAGGAATGATGTGGGAGACACAGACTGAGAGCGACTGCTGTTGTTGCTTCCCCTGTCTGCCCCGCCGGGGGTCTGTGTGTCGATGCTGCGTGTGCTGCTGCTTCTCTGTACAAGAGGAGGAGGTGCACGATGGCCATCTGGAATATCTTGTGGCTGTTATAAAATTTGTGAAATATATATATATATTTGCAATTGGTTCTAAAATTCACCAGCAATGTATCCAATGTCAGCCTTCCCTTGTAATGCCAGAGACTCACAAATCGGAAATCCCCTCCTACTTATTAGTCCTTTGTGTTGCTCATTAGTGACATCCCTATCTAACCTGACTCCCTTCACTGAGTGTGCAGGGTGAAGAGTTTGCATTCCCAGGGCCTGGCACACAGCAGGAGGCCAATGCTTGTTGAATAAATGAGTTGCACTAGATTACTTTTCATGTGCTAAACGTTATTTTAAAAATTATAAAGGAGAACCATGGTAGAAAGAGAAGAAATCTAGGTGTAACACTAGGTTCCTTATCAGAAGACAAGGTTATCCATAGTGTGAACTAGTGATACTTGATGACATGCCCTTGTTACCTCTCTCCTCCCACCACTCCCCCTGAAGTTTTTTCAAAAAACCTTCATAAATGAAGGAAAGAAATGTTAATCACAGGAGTGCTAATTATAGGGAGAAATCAAGGAGACACTTAATAGGAAAGTTTGTGTGGCTTACTTAGCAGACCAGCTCCTTGTACACCTTTGATTCACTTACCTTTATAACATCAGAGAAAGTGTACCCCATCATGCAGAATGGAGGAGAGGGTGTCGAGAGCTGTATTTTCTCTTAATAAACCAACGTTTTAGGGGAGAAGATCTTAAGCATCATTCCCTAATTCCTCCCTCACTGAAGAATTGAGACTTGGGTAAATATACTCTGTGGAATGATTTTTAAATCTAAATAGTAATTTTTCTCACTGTGTTTTACATATGAACCATTCTTATGTGTATTCTAGTTAGTAGAAAGGATAAGTGGTAGAAAATTAATTCCAATTGTACTCCATGACGATATAGCCTAGCATGTCACCCAAAAGCAAACAGTAACTGACAAACAACAAGGAATAGGTATCTCCATGCTTCTAAAGTATTTAATGTCACATAACCCCTTGCCCCCCCTAAATTAGTGAGGTAAACTTTTGTTAAATGGGATTATAGCAAATGAGAACTATATCACCTGTCTAGTGATTTTTAAATACAGATAAACAAAAAATAGTTTCTGTTCGAGGATCCAAATTTAAATCAGATCAGTTGCCTCTGTGTGATGCAAAGAAATGAAAACTCTTCATTCACTTGCCAAGGTCAAAGTTTTTCAAAAGAGATAAATTTTCATTTTCTCTCAACAAGAAGGAAGAAACCTAAGTAAATATGGAAAACAAAATTGTGAATTTTTAAATAATTAGAAGAGTTCATGTGTAAGGATAATTTTAAGATACAAGATTACTTACTATAAGTTGTTCTTCCTTTTCCCCTGTCTCTTTAATTATTATTTCAATCTCCTGATTCAATCCTTCCACACTATTCCGGAACCGGGAGCCTGTTGATTTGGTGATGGGAATTACTGGAATAAGTGCGCTCTTTGGAACAGGAGCCTTAAGAAAATGGGGTAGAGAGGGGGAATGAGATTTAACATTACCTTTTAATTCTCAAGATTGAAACATAATTCCAGTAGACACAACTAACTCAAAAATAAGTCAAAATAGGAGAAGCGGAGCAGGATGGCCAGCTAGAGTTGTCATCTCCACCCCCCACCAAAAAGAGACCAAAACAATAAACAACTATATTTTGAGCAGAATGACTGAAGAAGTACACTGCAGAGCACCAGAGGACTGATGAAATCCTTGTGGAGCATAGCAGACTGGGATAACATCATAGAAAGCACAGCAAGACATCATGCCTCTGTCTCACTATCTCCCCACAAGGACTGGACAGTCTCAGAGTCAGGCAACCACAAATGCCAACAATTCCTGCCTCAGGAGAGTCCCCCCAGTCCTCTCATACTCCAGACCTAGTTTAAAGAGTAGCTGGGAGTTTGTGTAGCTGCACGCCCTCATAGTAGAAGCCCAGGTAAAGGAATTGCCAACCCCTGCCCTCCGCCCCAAATGCCTACAGCACAGTGCCATCTTGAAACCAAACCTGTGGCTAGAGTGTATCCTGCCAGGGGGCTGATGAAAACTGACTCCCTCCATTCTGAGGTCCCACCTTCATTCTACCAAGTTCACACAGGCACCAGCAGGACCACAAACCCAGCTTGCTGAAGACTTGGCCAGACAGAAAGACTGAGGCTCCAGAGCCTGAACCCAGCATTTGGCACCCCTCCTCCCCCAAGGTGAGCAGGCAGGCAGACCTGTCTAGCAGGGAAGCCACTAATAAGCAGCTGGCACACCACATTTTTGTGTACCTGCCCTACAGAACCCACAGGCCCATAAGCCCACAGGTACCTGTACTGGACCAACAGCAAGTCCAGTGCTAGCAGAGACTCCAACTGTGGCTCTCTACAGAGTGGCCAGGCCCTGTTGCACCAGTACATTTTTGTGTACCTGCCCTACAGAACCCACAGGCCCATAAGCCCACAGGTACCTGTACTGGCCCGACAGCAAGTCCAGTGCTAGCAGAGACTCCAACTGTGGCCCTCTACAGAGTGGCCAGGCCCTGTTGCACCAGTATATACCTGCTCCCTAACCAACAGCAGACCAGGCAGCAGGTTGCCTTACCACAGCAGCCCTCAACAGAGCTGCCAGGCCCTGCTGTGCCACTGTACATCTGTTGCTTACTTGAGAGTGGACTGGGCAGTGGCTTCATCTCCTCTGGCAGGCCTCCATAGAGCCACCTGGCCGTGCTGTGCCAGCAAAACCAGCTCCCGGCAAGCCAGTAGTATCCTCTCCATTACTAGGCCTTCAAAGAGCCACTTGACCCCCCGACTCTGCACCCAGGCTTAGGAACACAAGAAATATAAAAAAGCAACAAAATGTTCCCAAAGGAACACAATAAGTCTCCAGTAACAGACGCTTATTGATAAAAAAAAGACAGTTACAAAATGCCTGTAAAATAATTTTAAATAATGATCTCAAGGAAACTCAACTAGGTACGAGAGAACACAGACAAATCAATGAAATCAGGAAAGTAATTCATGATCTAAATGAGAAATTTAATAAAAAGACAGATATCATAAAAAAGAACCAAAGAGAAATCTTGGAACTAAAGAATAAAATGAATGAAATAAAAAAAAAAAATTGAGGGCCGAACCTGTGGCTCACTCGGGAGAGTGCGGCGCTGGGAGCGCAGCGGCACTGGGAGCGCTGAGGCCACGGGTTCGGATCCTATATAGGGATGGCCAGTGCGCTCACTGGCTGAGTGCGGTGCGGGTGACACCAAACCAAGGGTTATCCCCTTACCGGTCACCAAAAAAAAAAAAAAATACAATGGAGAGATTCAACAACAGAGTAGATCAAACAGAAGAGGGAATTTCTGACCTTGAACACAGATCTTTGAAATTGCCCAATACAGAGGAAAAAAAAGACATAATAATAAAAAGAATGAAGAAAGCCCATGAGGTTTATGAGATACCATTAAGTGAACAGATGTTTAAATAATAGGTATCTAGAGGGAGATGAGATGAATAAAGGCACAGAAACCCTATTTAATAAAATAACAGCTGAAAACATCCCAAGTATTGGGAGAGATATGGACATTCAGATTCAGGAAGCTCAAAGGTCCCCAATTAAACTCAACCCAAAAAACTCTTCTCCCTGGCACACTGTAATCAAAATGCTGAAAGTCAAAGACAAAGAGACAATTCTAAAAGCTGCAAGAGAAGCTGTACATGGAACGTTATCCAAGAGAGATAATAAATTAGGTCACAAAACAAGTCTACACAAATTTTTTAAAATGAAGATTATAACAAGTATCTTTTCTGACCACAATGGTCTAAAAGTAGAAATCAACAACAAGAAAAACTTGGAAACTTTACCAACACATGGAAATTAAACAACATGTTCCTAAACAACCTATAGGTTAATAAAGAAATTAAAAGGAAAATTTAAAAATTCCTAGAGACAAACAAGAATTGAGACACCTTATACCAAAACCTATGGGACATGGCAGAAGCAGTTCTAAGAGGAAAGTTTATAGCAATAAATACCTACAGCAAGAAAGAAGATTGCTAATAACAATCTTACACTGCACCTAATGGAACTAGAAAAACAGCAAACCAAATCTAAAATAGGCAAAAGGAAAGAAATAATAAAGCTCAGAGGAAATCTAAATGAAATGGAAACCAAAAAGCAATTGAAAAGATTGACCAAATGAAGAGTGTTTTTTTAAAAAAATTAACAGAATTGATACATTTAGCCATACTAAAGAAGAGAAAAGAGAGAAGACAAATAAAATCAGAGATGAAAAAAGAGACATTACAACTGATGCCACAGAAATACAAAGGATCATAAGAGACTATTATGAATAACTAAATGTCAACAAATTTGATAACACAGAAGCAAATGATAAATTTCTGGACAAATACAATCCACAAAGATTAAATTATGAAGAAACGGAAAATCTGAACAGACCAATAACAAGTGATGAAATTGAATCATTAGTGTAAAGTCTCCCATTAAAGAAAAGCCTGGGACCTCATGGTTTCACTGCCGGATTCTACCAAACATTCAAAGAAGAATTAATACCAATTCTCCTCAGATTATTCCAGAAAATTAAGAAGGAGAGAATACTTCCCAACTCATATTATAAAGCTAGTATTACTCTGATTCCAAAATTGGACAGGGACACAACAAAAAAAGAATATTATACACCAATATCCCTGATGAACATAGATGCAAAAATTATCGACAAGATATTAGCAAACAGAATCCAAGAGCACATTAATAAGATCATTCACTATGATCAAGGTGGATTTATCCCAGTGATGCAAGAATGGTTTAACTTATGTAAATCAATAAATGTGATACACCACATTAACAGAAAGACAAAAACCATATGATCATTTCTACTGATGCAAAAAAAAAAAAAATTGACAAAATTCAACACTCCTTCATGATTAAAAACTTTTAACAAACTAGGTTTATTGGTCTGTGTCGGTTGCTTATAACGGAATACCTGAAACTCAGTAATTTGTAGGGAAATAAAAATTTTTTCTTACACTTTTAGAGGCTGGGCAGTCCAAAGACCAGGGAACATATCTGGTGAGGACCTTTTCCGAGTGCTGACTCTACAGCAAAACAGGGTATCACATAACAAAATGGCTGAGCAACAGACTTTCCTCCTCAACTGCTCTCCTTTTAAAGCCATCAGAACCATACCCAGTCACAAGGGCATCATCCCCACAATCCAATCACCTCTTCAAGGCCCCACCTTTCAATTACCATAATAGGATTTCTTACCCTTTTAACACTATTACAGTGGGGATTGAGCTCCAATACATGAAACTTTGGGTAACACATTTACCCATAAGACTAAGAATAGAAGGTATATACCTCAATACAATAAAGGCCACATGACAAACCCACAGCTAACAACATACTGAAGGGAGAAAAGCTAGGATGGAAACTTTCAACACTTCTGATCAACATAATACTGTAAATCCTAGCAAGAACAATAAGACAAGAGAAAGAAATAAAAAGCATCCAAATTGGAAAGGAGGAAGTCAAACTGTCCCTGTTTACAGATGATATGATCTTATAAATAGAAAACCCTAAAGACTTCACCAAAAAACTGTTAGAACTAATAAACACAGTAAAGTTACAGGATACAAAATGAACATACAAAAGTCAGTGGCATTCCCCTACACTAACAGCGAACTACCTGAAACAGAAATCTATGAAATAATTCGAGGGTGAAAGACCTCTACAATGACAACCATAAAACTTTTAAGAAAGAAATTGAAGAGGACACAAATAAACGGAAAGATATTCTGTCTTCATGTACTGGAAGAATTATGCATTAAAATGGCCATTCTACCCAAAGTCATCTACAGATTTAATGCAATCCCTATCAAAATACCAATGACATTCTTCACAGAAATAGAAAAAAAGATCCTAAAATTCATATGGAACCAAAGAACACCCCTATTAGCCAAAGCAATCCTAAAAAAAATGATCAAAACTGGAGGCATCACACTACCTGACTTCTAATTACACTGTAAAGCTACAATAGCCAAAACTGCACAGTACTGGCATAAAAACAGACACATAGACCAATGGAACAGACAGAGAGCCCAGAAATAAATTCACATACCTACAGCCAGCTGATCTCTGGCAAAAGTGCCAAGAATACATACTGGGGAAAAGATAGTCTCTTCAATACATGCTGCTAGGAAAATTGGACATTCACATGCACAAGAATGAGACTATAACCCTACCTCTAACCATCTACAAAAATCAACTCAAAATGAATTAAAGATTTAAATGTAAAACCTGAAACTATGAAATTACTGGAAGAAAACATAGGGGGGATGATCCACAACATGGGGCTGGGAAAGGAATTTTTTAAATAAATCTTCAAAGGCGCAAGCAATTAAAACCAAAAATAGACAAGAGGGATTACATCAAACTAAAAAGCTTTTGCACATCTAAGGAGACTA